TGCCTTTTGCCTTCCCTCCTCACCAGGTCGCCGTCCAGTGCCACTCTTAGCAGCCAGGGAAGGTCCCAAAGCAGGGAGGGAGGAGGAAGCAAAGAGTTAATAGTCTACCAACTGGACAAGCAGGTGCAAAATCATTAGCATGTGGCTTCCCTCGCCATTTCACCTGGCAGGGCAGGACACCCTCTTGTGTCATTTCTTTCCTTTCGAGACTTCTTGAGACGCATGGGCTGGATTTGAGGGGCCACTGCGTGGAGGAGGGAGAAACGGGAAAGGCTGTCTCCGTGGCCTATGGATGGCTTGGTCTTATGAGTGGGGAGATGCAGATGACCCTGGCGTCGTAGTTAGTTGGAAAGGCCTCTGAAGATGGTTTGGGCCATTGGTCCAAATGCCTTGTGGAACAGATGAGGAAAGGAGTTGCAATGTATTCTGGGACTGCTTTCCTCTTCCCTCAGACTTTTAGTCACATCCCTGTGTTTCCAAAAGTAAGTAGGTTTGAGTCACTTTCCCAGGATGTGTTTCAGTTTCTCAGAATGAAACAGAAGGAAGACCCTTTTGTAAGAGTGAGTATCAAGTCTAAAGAGCAAAACCAGTACGAACTATGGGAAAAAATATCCAAGCGCTCACCAAAAGCTCATTTCGGACAGTTAGGAATAATTTGGCAAAGCAGTGGCTGCATACAACATGACTTTGATGTCCTTAGCAAGGGCAAGCAGACCAAAACTTCCATGGTAGTCGGCATTCCTGTGATGCTGCCTGGGGCTGAACCACATTGTGTCCAGATTTCCACAAGCCCGGAGTATACACACACACACACACACACACACACACACACACACATGCACACACGCATGCATACACGCAGTTGTTCTTGTTACAACCTTCTGGGGCTTTTCCAGACGACCCTGAGCTCAGACATGACTCCAATAGAGACAGCATAGTTCTGAGACAGACCCACAGGCCACCCAGTGCCACCAAAATAGACATGTGAAGTCCCGGCTTAGCTGACAGGGAGGGTGGAGTGGGGCAAGCTGCTCCAAAACACGTCCACCTGGTGGAAATACTCTGGACTAGAATGAGCTGTAAATAAACTAGACTGTGCTAAAAACAAACAGTTCCAGGGAGGGAGGGGACAGAAATAGATGGCTTTCACCTGCTGCGGGGAAGTAGGTCAAGGTCAAGGGGCAGGGAGGTGGAGTGGACAGTGCAGGCATCTCGTCAGGAGAAGCAGTGGTCATTCGTTTTCACTGATGGGGTCCGCAGTCTCTGGGAAGAAATAGAAGTGATTGTTATGTCACCAGGAGAAACTAAACTGGGTACTGAGTGAAGGAAGTCATTCACGGCCATATATGGTCTGGAAAAATAAATGGTGATGAGAGGGAATCTGCCACACGGACCGCTAGCCTCCCAGGTGTTCCTGGCTGGCAGAGGTTCTGTGGGAAGCGGCAACCTTGGTCTTTAGCTGTCTCTGCGGGAGAAGAAAGACAATGAGGGAAGTGTAGAAGGGCAGCGCTTCCCCACATAGCCGAAATAGGGTGGAGCGCTGACAGTGCCCCTCCTGCTACTCAGCGCCTTAAGGGAAGAGCGGTGTATGTGTGTGTGTCAAGTGTGGTAACCGTACAGCTCTGTCCTTTGACTGCTGGAAGAAGCAGCCCATGAGAGCAGAGCCGACCTGAGGTGGTGTGGTGTGCCACTGTAGCACATGGACAATTTCACACACACCAGCCCCAGAGGGCACCACTCTGTGATCTTGAAGGGTCAGGACAAAAGTAAGCACACCCTAAAACCCTAACCAAACAGAAGGAAAACAAGAGCGTCATCCAGCCACAATGATCACTCCCCATTTTTGCAAATACAAGCGGTCACTGCTTTTTACCGATCACAACCTTGGTCCTTTTCCCTTCCCATTGCTGACGTGAAGACACCCAGCACAGTTGAGCCCTTGCCTCCTGACCCCAGAGCAGAGCCAGACTTGCTTCCTCGTAGTTCCCCCCGACATCACCCAGCAGAAACCCAGACCCTCGAGTCAGCCCTTCTTACCGAAATGCCTCCGGCTCCTCCTGGGTGAGTTTGCTCCTCTTGCAGTGAGTGAGTCGGCAAACACAGGTTGGGGGACTGCAGTTGTGTTCCCAGTGGTCACTGGGGGTAGAAATTGATGCAGTAGTCTCAAGTAGTTTTTCTGGGAGGCTTTACCTCCTTCTTAGGTGTTGGCCTTCATTCTTACCTGTATGCAGGCATAGTATAGAGTTTAACTCTGGAACGAGACAGCTTAGGGTCAAGTCCGGGCCCTTTCACTTACAACCTGAATGATTTTGGATAAAATGCTTGATTTGCTGCTTCAGCTAACTGTTCTGTGAACTGGGGGTGATGATGATGATGGTGGCGGTGGTGGTAATGATGATGGTGCTTAACTGTCACACTGGCTGTGAGGAGTAGGTAAGTGTCTCTGCACGAACCACTGAAGCGGTATCTTACATATGGTGCATGTCATTAATGCTATTAGTTCAGCAAACATGTGTAGAGTGTCTGCTGTCTTTCAGGAACACTATTAGACCCTGAGAATGAGTCTCCCAGGAAACTGAGAAAACTGTTTTTACTTCATGGAGAAAATTAATGTGAAGATAAACCCAGAAAAATATATGTAGCAGGACTAGACATGTTGACACACACCTGTAATCTCAGCTTCTCAGGAGACTGAAGCAGGAAGATCAAAAGTGTGAGGCCAGCATGGACAACTTAATAAAATTTTAAAAGAGGCTGAAGGGATGAAGGTTAGCCCTCCTTGTGTTTGATCCTGAGTACCTCACAGCAAAAACAAAAACACAGCAGGGCCACCCTACCTTAGCCTGGGAAGCTGAGGATCCTAAAACTTGAAGTCAGAGTCACAATGATAGATGTGGTGATAGATGACCACACAGATTCCGGAAGCTCAGTGATTCTGTGAAAGCGTAGAGGTTAGGGTGCCATGGTGAGATCAAAACTGGGAACTAAAAAGGGATGGCTTTTGGCGATTGTGCACATTGCTGCCATGAACACTTTAGTTCGGGGATTTTGGTGAAAAACACACCCACCTTTCTGTTGGTAAATACCTAGGAGTGAAGCTACTGGGGTACAGTGTGTATCTATGTTTAGCTTTAGTAGAAAATAGCAAGCAAACACATTACATCAGCTTCCTCCCACCAACCGGTGTGTGATAAATCTGGTTGTTTTATACCCGTGCCACGTTTGGTATTTTCTGACCTTTTCATTTTAGCTGTCTGGGTAGGCGTGCAGTGATGTCACCCAGTGTGCAGCGGAGGGAGTTAGATGGTACTGACAGACGTACAGCTGACCTCTGCTTAGCAGGGCTAGCTACACACAGTAGCTTCTGGGACTCCCACAAACACCAGGCCATGCAAGAGAAGTCAAAAGCAGGAACTCAGACTACATGGTTCCATTTATATGAAATTAAAAACCAGGTGAGATGAGCCCCTGGTGTTAGATTCAGTATGGCAGCAGGTAGGGAGCCCTGGGATGGGCGCTTACGTGGCTTCTGGTGCTGGGTGTCTATTTCTTGACTTGAGTGCTGGTTTCTAGAATCTGTTCACTTGGTAGAGATATCCTGGGATGTCACTTACGATCTGGAGCTTTTTGTAATAAAGTTTCCCACTGAATACGTACTCGACGCAGGTGAGACTCTACCTAGAAAGGAAGGTGTAGAAGTCCAAGACCCTCCCTTATCTCCTCATGCTCAGATTAGGTCTCTGGCTTATTGGGACATTAAACTGTGACTTTAGTGAAATGACTGACGTGTGAGTCTGCATGTAGAGGCTGTGTTTTAATCGTGGGCCTGAGCACCTGGACATCACTGCCACCTCCAGCTCTGGCTGCTCTTGTTTACACAGTTTCCCTCTAAGTGCAGTGTCAGAGTCATTAACAAACACTTCCTGCTCTCCATTACTGGGCCACATTATGAGTCTGTCTGAACTCTGCATTGCTTTTCACAACTACAGAGTGACAGGTTTTGACGAAGGAGAGATGCATCTTAGAGTGTCATGGTGTCTGTGCCATATTAATTCCACAAAAGCGAGGCAAGGTTATGTCAAGTAGCAAACAGATCTGTTCACATCCCTAATGTGGAGGACCACTAGGCCAGCTCTCCCTGGAAAAAGACCATTTGTCTCCATCTTGGCAAACCCTTGCCTTACTTCCATGTATTGATCCATGCAGAGCTGACTAAGAACATGCTCTACCCCGTCAATTGACTTTAAGCCATGCAAATGGGTCTAGCCAGTGTGCTGATGTGTAGCCTTGAAGCAGTGATGCCCAACCTGTAGCTCCCTGCTACTAAGCATGAGCCAGGCTGAGAAACAGTAGTGCTGTTGGCTGGAATTCAGCCTCGACAAAGAGGGCAGGAGGGCAGGAGGGCAGGAGGGCTGAACACCAAAATTGAGGCAACTGACCAAAAGCACAAGGTATTTCCTCAAACTGTGTTATGTGGATTCCTCCAAACTTAGAGGCTGCCTGCTTCTGGAATCTGGAACTCTCTCTGCACACCTCTCTGGTGTATGGCAGAGATGCCGTGGTGCCTCCTACCCAGCCCAGCTCACAGCACTCACCTACTTCCTGCCGTTCTCACAGTCTTTCACCTGGGCCACTCCCTCCTCACGAGTTAATAAAACCCAGGTTTGGCCTGGATCCTGGCTGTCTTCCAGTTAACCTTTGTTCCGACAGGACTTGGGACACCCTTGGGTCCCCACAACTGCAGATGTGTGTTTGTTTCTTTACTTTAGCTGCACGTTGCACTGGAAGTGGTGACTGGAATTTACTAACTAGAATTCCAATAACTCCTCCCCTGGGGTTACACATATAAACTCCTCAATGCCACGACGGGAGATGAGATCCAGAGCAGCTCCCTACACCTACATACCAGAAGTTAGAGTTGAGGTTTGGGGTGATTGTGTGGGTCCCCTGGGCACAGTGAGCATGACCCCATACTAACAAGCAGCAGTTTTCTCTGCCAGCCCTTCCTGGCCTGGATCAGAAGAAGCGTGGTGGCCACAAGACATGCTGTCTCCTGACCCCCCCTCCACCCCCGCTCTTCCCTCCACCATTCTTCCGCGGAGACCGAAGTCCGGTGAGTACTTAGCACTTAAGGGTCCCCGTGGGCCACCTCCACAGCCTTGGTTGAGAGTCTACCCCTTCATTCTCACCCTGAAGTTGAGCCCTGAAAAAGACATTTGCAGTTCCTGGGCCATATCTATTCTTGTACGATCTCAAATCAGTGTTGGAGGGAAGGTCTTCTCAGCCAGGTACTGATCTTGGCAAAGTGTCCCATCTTTTTTAAAACAATGAGGTGAATTTATAACTTTTTGGGTTTCTATCGACTTCAGATACAGAATTTCCCCTTTCTTTTCTATTCTCTCAAGTATTAATAAAATTACCCCAGCCAGGGGGTAAAACAATGGGAAGATAAAAATGGAGAAGGTAGAAATGGAAAAGGGAGGATGGATAAAAGGTAGAAAACACATACCAAAGTACAATTAGGCTGGAGGAATTACTTCTAGCATTCTTTAACACAGCAGAGTAACTAATCTACAATTTATATTTTCAAATAATTAGAAAAAAGCCTAAAGTTTCCCAACCAGAGAAATCATAAATGTTGATTTGATTATTATACGTTGTATATGAATATTACATTATCATAGTATATCTCATAAAAATGAATAAATCTTATATGTCAATCACAGAAAAAAAAACTTTCCTAGAGTCCATGTCTTCGGTAGACCACATCCATGAAGTGACATAGGAAAGTGTCCCAGTAGCCACACTGAAGCATGAGAAGGAACAGATTTTGGGGAGAAAGGAAAAGGTGGAGAAAAGCTCAGGATTTAGAACCTAGAGGATGAAAAGCCACGGCATTCTAGGGACTTGGAACTCAGATCTTTCTGGAAGCTCTTAGACCTATACTGTCCCATAGCTACTAGCTTGAGTGGCTATCAAGCACCTTCAGTGACCCTAGTTCAAACTGAGATGTGCTACAGTATAAAATACACCCTGGTGTATGAAGACTTAGCATAACACAAAGAATGGAAAATGTCTCAATAGCAGTTTTTATAATGAATATATATTGAAAGGACAATGGGGTACACTGGGTTAAACAAAATGTATTATAAAATTAATTTCACTTGTTTTCTTTTGACCTTTTTAAAAGATGAAAATGTGGCTATCAGAACATCTAAAATGGCAATGTGGTTCTCGTCGTGTTTTTTCGTCTGGACAGTGCTGTCCTAGACATTGAATCAGGGCCCTTGAAATGAGCTTAGTAACTCCTTCCAAAGTGGCCATGCTATCTCATGAGTCCACCCAGCCAGGGTCTCAAGAGCAAAAACAAGAGAGCAGAAACTGCTGGCTCCTGAGTCTATCTCAGGACACCCATTAGGGTGCCAAGGAATCGCCAGTCATGGACCTGAACACAGAGCAGGGCCATGTCCACGGAGGCGGCCCTGCTTCTGTGCCCTCTGATCTGTAACCTTGTGTTGCTTTGCCCGGAAGCTTCTCTCCCCAGATGTGAAGAATCTCCTCCTGGACCTGGAGACCTCACAGTCCCCGTGCCCGCGAGGCTCGCTCGGCTCCCCTGGGCCACCCGGCCCCCAGGTGGGTGTGCAGAGCAGCGGAGCCCCTCTTGGTATCTGCCCCTTGAACCTGCTGAGGGGCTGCTTCTCCTTCTCTACCTGCTCCCTCAGACCTCCCGGGGAAAGCGCTGGTTTTCTTCTGGGTGAATTCTGGCCTCTTGGGTTTGATTCCTAATCTATGCAAGGGGGATAATGCTCCTGCCATTCTACATTTCATGGGAATCAAGTGAGATTTGCCTATATGGGAATGGCTGTAACTATAGCTATCATGAGACAAAAGTTTGACAGTAATGCACCTCATGTGACCACTTGCCCACCTACAGACCCAGAGGTACCAGCGTGCAGTGCAGGAAAGTGGGGGCACAGAGGACTATTCATTACTCGGAGCGTCATCGGCCCCCCACTATTGCTATCAAGCAGCCCGCTTATCCCTGCTAAAAGTAAAGGAAGAGTGAAAAAGAGACAAAACCGGAGAAAGACTTTCTGGAAAAAGAAAAGAGTCCCCTCTAGAAGCCCCATCTCTCTCCTCTGTCCTCTGCCTGCCTTAGAGAGGGGCTCCATGAGTGAGGGAGTCCCAGCCTGGGAGGGGGAAGAGAGTACATTGAGCAGTCAGCTCTTCAAGTTCTGCCCATGGAGGGGACATGGAAATTGTCACTTTCCTGAGTTAACCATCCCGTGGCTTCCTACCGCTGGACGACCAAGAGCCAAACTCTGGAAGTCTTAGTGATCTGTATCCTCACAGAGAGGACTCTGGCTTGATCCGCTCAGCAGCCCACACATCCTGCAGTACCCATGCAGCACAGCCACTGCAGTTGTCTGTGTTCTCACACCGTCTAAGTTTGTTTCAATGTTAGGACCTTTGCACATGCTGGTCCTGCTTTTTGGGAAGTTCTCCCTTCAGATATTGATCATAGCTGGCTCCTTTTATTCACTCAGAACTCAATTTTCATGTCTCTTCCTTAGAAATAAATAATGAAAGTAATCATCACTCCAGACCCCAAAATCTAGTTGAATTTTTCCTCAATCTGTTATGGTTTCCTGATTTCCTGTCGTTGTTCCTGGTCTCTCTGGTCCCTCCTCTATAATAGAAATGTAAGCCCTGTGACATACTGTGGCCCATGAATCAATCCAGCAACAGTCTGTTTTTCTAACTGAAGTTTTATTTTCTGTGGCTGCTTCTGGGTTACGAAGGTGGAGTTGACAGAGACCAGATATGACCTCCAAAGCCTAAGATATTTAGTTCCTCTCAGGCCTTGTACAGAAAAAGCTTCACAGGTCCTTGCCTATGGGAACGGGACATTTTCCATCCACCCATAGTTGTATTCCCAGTCTACACTGGGGCACAGAGTTGTAGCCTGTTCTCCATAAACACTCGTGGAATGCACTAGAGAAAACAGGAATTTGAGCCCAAAGGCTACCACAGAGGATCTGGGGAGTCTGAAGAAAGGCGAGATGGAAATCCTCTAAGGTGGACTTTATTGTCCTGCCTGCAGCAGTCTATTCAGATGGGTCTCAGGGTGCAGGGGAACTGACAGAGCACTGGGAAGAAAGGAGGGGTCCTCTGTGGACCCCAGAATGGCAGCTCTTCCATCCCACTGAACACCTGACCCACACAATCCCCTTTGACTTGCCTGGGGCTGTGTTGCCCAGCTGTGAGGTCTTGGGGCCCCCTCAGTTCTCTATCATAGTGTGAATGCTGCCCCTTCTCAAGGTGAGGTCAGGGGACTGGTGGCTTTCGCACCTGTAGGAGCTGGCTAGCAATGCAGAATCCCCCTTCCCCAGTGGCTCAAACACAATCCTCCTTTTAGCCTTTCACAAGACATGCTCCCCCCCACCCCGCACGTTATAGATCGGGAAACACTGAGCACGAACACAGTGATCTTGTACAATAGTTTTATCCATTTCAAGAAGCAACAAATATTATAGCTTAGAAGAACAAAGAGAATGAAATACAATTTTTTTCCTTTTTCCCTTTCCCAAAAGAGTAGGTATACAAATTCAAAACGGTGGTTCTCAGCCTTTTCTGCACGCTGTGATCCCTTGGGGGAGTTTCAGAAATTCCTGGAGCTCATTCTCTTCCCACTAGATTGTTATTTAATTGGTCTGGTGTGTGGTTTGGGCTCTCAGAGTTTTCCAAGATCTCTGAGGAGCTGCAGTAGGCTGATAGGTCTGGGAACCAACCACTGGTTAGGGGCCCCTGGCCATTTGAACAAACTGTAGAGAGCAGATTTCAAGCTGCGTTTTCACTTGCATGTTTACCTGAGGCTCTGAGGGTGCCTGATGCATTTGTCCCTTGTGTCCTGGGGAATTTCTAAAACAAAATCAATCACTGAGCATTTCACAAAGCTCAGAATGGGAGCTCAAAATGTGTTGTGAATGCGGGTGTGCAAAGCGTTGGTACAATGGTTCTTAGAGCCCCTGAGGTAGAATCTCCCCACTTCTGTGGCTCAGCAATGGGACAGAAGTGTATGCTATTACTTCTTCACATTTTTATGTCTTAAAAAAGAACATTGTTTCTAAAGAAGGACAGGGAGAATGACTAGGCACCTTGCACCCACAAATGGTCCATGGGAATTTGTAAGTCTCTTGCTTCCCTTCCCTCTTGTCTGGGCCTCAGAAGAGCTTTAGTAGGATAGTTGAAAAGCTAGGAGAGGTGGTGTCACATCATGTTTTTGGCAAGTGGGATTTCCCTGGGATCCTTTTGCTGCTCTCATTAAGCACCCGGAGTGTTTCAGGTAATCAAGGTTCCAGGGACAAAATTAAAGTCTCACAGAGAGTGGATGTGTGAGCACTACAGTGGAGGTACCCCTGGAAAGGCAGTGCTGAGAAGGCTCAGGAGAGGGGGCAAGGAGAACGGGCTGCAGGACAGAAAGCTCCTCTCTGGGGTCCCTGGGACCCCGCACCCACACAGAACAGCACTGGTTCTGGGAGGGCCCAGCGTGCCGAGCTCTCTCCGCCTCCCCAGCAGCAATCCCCCTTTGGTTTGATATATTCCCTCTGTAATTCTTGTCTTGATTGTGTAGGGTCCACCGGGGCTTCCTGGAAAGACAGGACCAAAGGGAGAAAAGGTACGAGCCCCTGCTTCCTTCACCCCGCCTCTCCTTTGTAACTCCAGCTTGTTTTACCAGGATGCCACTGAGAATTTTCTGGTTAATATTTCAAAATAGGTGCTAATTCTGTCTCAGTGTAGCGGCAAGGCCCCTGATGCCTGGCTGCCACGGGGGTGTGGGATAGTGCTGGTGTGTTTGGCTTGGTCCGTTGGCATGGAAGAAATGCTGTGACCAGCAGAGGACTGGTCAGCCGACTGAGCCACACAGTCGCACCCAGCCACCAGTCCTGTGAAGTCCTCTGGTGCCAGAACTTCTCCCCAGAGCAGACTCTGCTTACCTGTCTTCTCCATCCACAGGGAGAGCTTGGCCGGCCAGGAAGGAAGGTATGGTCCCCACTGTTCTGTCAGCGTCACCCAGGCCACTGTATGCCACATGCATGTGAGTGCTTGTATGCTCTCAGGAGTGAGGAGCCAGCAGTTCACTGCTACGGCCACTAATAAGCAGCTGGTGGACAGGGACAGTGACAACAACAGTCCTTTGGTCAGGAGCTAGAGCGTGCTGCCCCCAGACATTCAGGTTTCTTCCAATAGCAGCAGCAGGCCCGGCCAAACTTCCTCCAGGTTCAGACATGTTATCCACCAGCCATCAGAGAAACCCTCCAGGGCTCCAGCCAGCTCCACAAAGGACTAAAGTGCCACACAGACATAAACAAGTAGATTTTGATTTTTGGTCTATCTAAAATAAATGGGAGTCACTTATGGTCACAGTGATGCTGAGCAAACCAAATGTTCTTTGTCAAGACTCTCATTAGTATCCAGAGGAGGAAACCAGCAGCCTGTCTTACTCACTGTGGTTAGTGGACACCCGCACTGATAGTCTTGGTTCTGTGATTGAAGGAAGTGTGAAACTTTGGCAGAAAAGATACTTATGGCTATAAATTTAAATTATATTTCTGGTTAAATGTTTTACTCAGATGGGTTCAATGTCAACAAGACCCTTGCCAGGTACAGATGTCAGCTCCAGCTAGAGTGCAGCAGCTGTCTGGAAAAGAAAGTTCCCATGCTCAGACCAAACAAGTGCTGTGTTGATTAGTGATGTCTGCCATGGGTGTGAAAAGCACAAGAACTCAGTGCACACGCCAGCATTTGGCATCTCTGAGAGCTTTGCTGAGTGCTTCAAATCTTAGCTGGCTGAGATCAAGACAGACCCCTAGTCCATGCTTCCAGTGTCCCTTACAGGCTTTGCCCTTCCATCGCCCTTGGCTTATGTTGTTTTCTCTAGAAGCAGAGATATGTACAAGTGAACAATTATTAAGGGATCTTGTTGAGAGTGAGGGAAACCAAGCAAGAGTGTGGTCTAAGGTGAAGTTCAAATTCAGAGGCCTGATCCCTGTGGGAGCTCTGGAGCACGGGTACCTGAAATCTGGCTTACTGGCTGTAGGAAAAGGAGGTACACAAATCACCAGGCATCCAGTGGCCCAGGCATAAACTCTACAGTTGCAGGTTGTGGAGAGGTGTCGTTAACAGGAAGGATGGAACTTCCTGGGGATAGTGCTCCAAGCCAGTAAAAAGATCTTGAGTGAGCACCAACAGTGTCTACTGCTGATCCACACACAGTCCTGTCTCAGTCCACAGCAGGGGACAGTAGGGTGTGGAGAACCCGCTGGAATGCAGGAGACATTAGGATGAGTGGGCAGACATGATAAAGACTGAAAAACAAAAGTTTAGTTAGCATCCTTGTCCCTCTGTTCTCCATTTATTGAGTAGAATGTAATTATGTTTTGTGATATTTTATGGCACCAAGGATTTAACTTGTATCTAAGTGTCCCAGCTTTTCTGGCCTCAGTCTTTGGAAGGTAGGGATGAAGGCCCTGTGGGCCATGCAGGGAGGCCCTCTACTGGTATCTGGGCCCAAGATGTTCTTGGGAGGAGGGAAACACACCAGTTGTCCTAACTTTTATTCTTGGTTTTTGAAGGGTAGACCTGGCCCCCCAGGTGTTCCGGGCATGCCTGGGCCCATTGGCTGGCCGGGCCCTGAAGGACCCAGGGTAAGTGTGTTATGCTCTTGGGCTTATGTGATGTCAGAAAAGGAGAGCAAAACATGACAGGTCCCCTGGCATATAGTCAGTGCATTATTACCTAAAGAGGGGAAAGAAAGGAGCTTAGGGACTGTCCAGGGGTCCCCAGACACTTCCTCCTTCAGTTGGCCTGTAGACCTTGTCCAATGCGAAGGCTCTGCCCATAAAAGGAGAAACAGGATACTCTTTCACAGAGCCCTGCTTCTCCTTTGACCCAAGAATTAGCTAAGATTCTCTGGTTTCCCCGTGATGACCCCAAGGGCTCTTTGTGTCAGGAAAATCTTGCCTGTCGAGCTGATCTGGCAAGAGTAGAGGGCTGAGGAAGTGGGTGTTGGCTAGCTTGGGAGAAAGGTGAAAATCATACCCAGAGGGATCATCAAGTGCTGATGAAATCTCCTCCCTCAGAGAGGAAGGAAGCACACCCACCTCCATGCGTCTCCTTATGGTCTTCTCAGCCCTCCTAGGCTACGGTGTGGTGATGTCTGATAGGCTCTTCCTATGCAAAGAGCAAAGCAGGCAAAGTTTTTGTGTGTACTGAAAACTTTTCTGAGGTCTTGGTGCCCTCACACTGTGAACTGTTGTTTGACTTGGAAATTTTACCGGAATCAGGGATAGGCAGGTGAATGCCACCACCTGTTCTGACTCTTTTACTGGCTATATTATGGGTACAGAAAACTGCATTTCCAGTCCACTGTGGGACAGTCCCAACAGTGTTTCTTTTTAAACTCCACTGTATAGAGCTGACCCCTCTGACAGGCAATCCTGCCACATATGGCAAGTGAACCCTCGGAATGCACCAGCACAACCAAGGAGCTGAATTTTCATTCTAATTCATCTGAATTTAAATTTAAAAACCTTTCCTCAATTCAGTTATTTGAAAACTTTTAGGTATATTTAGAGCAACTTGAATGTGTGATTCTTTCACAACTAGAAGTTTCATGAAATCTAATTACAGATGAAGTATTTTGAATGTAAATTTAACTTAAGTTGAGATGTTTTATAGGTATAAAATAAACAACAGATTTCAAGTATTTATTATGAAAACAGAATATAAAATTTCTTGTTGATAATTTTAAATTGACAATAAAAACTAGTGAATTAAGCAGAATATATTGGTGAAATTAATTTCACTTGTTTAGTTTTACTGTTAACATGACTTCTAAAAACACTTAAAATTCATTGTGGTTCACCTATATTTCTACTGGTTGGTGCTGATATAGAATTCTTAAGTATGGAACATGCTAGAAATTCCAGCTGCAGTGTTCTCTCGAGGGTAATGGAACCCACTAATAAACCTGAGTGTGCCCCCTCCCCCATCAACTATATCCAGAGGTTGACACTCACTGTACTTGGCCACGAACATAGGGTGAGCATGAATGGAGATATCTGAAGGCCCTCCCTATGCAAAGAGCAAAACAGGCCAAGTTTTTTGTGTGTACTGACACCATGTCTTCTGAGGCTCCAGTTCCTTCATGCTTTCTCCCTAGCCTGCTTGCAACTGTCCCTAGGAAAAGGGAGAGGGGGGCTGGAGGACCTCAGATTCACAATCCAGTTTCCATGTCCCTGCTTCTCCTAGTTCTGTTTCTTGTCTGCAACTCTTCTGGTTCAGTTTCTTGAAGAAATGTCACTGTCGATTTTTTTGTCCTTCTCTTAATTCATGCAGGGTGAAAAAGGCGACCTGGGTATGATGGGCTTGCCAGGGTCAAGAGGACCAATGGGCTCGAAGGTCAGTGTGTGCTCCAGAGAGACAATCTCAGATTTTCTTACGAAGGCTCTGGAGCAGCTGTGGTCTACAAAAGGGGGAGTGTGGGGTGCTGTCCTAGGCTGGGAAATGTTACAGATACTGGAAAGCCCAGTGCTTCCCCTTATCAGCCCTTTGGGGGACATCTTGCCCCAGGATGCAGGTGCATAGGGGTACCCTTCTTGCTGTCTTCCTGAACTGTGATGATCAAGCTTCTGGACAGCAGAGCAAATGGAAACTTTTGTTCAGGTCTCTGCGAGATAAGAAAGCAATGTTCTTTTTAAGCCTGATACAAACACAACCCTCTGGGACATCTTTATGATTGCAGCTCCACTAAAATTTGTGGTGCAATGTGGAGAGTGCACAGTATCCCAGCCAGGGATTTCTTGCACTCTCAGACCAGCCAACCACCTTACAGCACTGATTGTAGGGGCTGGGAATTTAGCTCAGCGGCATAAGAGCCTGCCTAACAAGCACAAGGTTGTGAGTTTGATCCCTGGTACCAAAAAAAAAAAACAAAAAACAAAAAACAAAAAACAAAAACTGATTGTAAATACACTTTCTGCTTTCCTCTAGGGCTATCCTGGATCCAAAGGAGAAAAGGTCAGTACTTATGTCTAATGCCATCCCAGGACCTGGTCTGGGCTGTAGGCTCTTGAGTCAGCAATGGACAAAGGATGGGCTGAGGTCTCCCTTTAGTCAGTACCTGCAGCAGTCATTCTCATCCATTCCTCTGTCCTTTGTCAGTGGCTAGAGAGAGAGAGGCCTCCAGGACAGGGGGAGCTCACAGTGGAGACAGATACCTGTGCATGGAGCAGATGAGTGAAGCGGGTAGGTAGAGGATGGGCACAGTTTGCATGGGGTGCTGGAGGAAGGCAGCAGGTATGTGTCCCTAAACGCAGCTTCTGCAGACTCGTCTCCTCACCTGTCAAAACAAAACAAAAGCCAACAGACACTTGGAGACAAATTTCCTATGAGATTATGGACAACACAGGACCTAGAATTTTCCTTGAGTTGTCCTTTATTAATTCAAGACATCTTTGGGGTCCAAACAGAAGGCAGATCACAAAGTCTTCCTTTCCTGGGAAAGCCACCCAGCATCTCTAGGTCATCTGTCTGTAAAAGGAGGGTTTTGGCTTGGGAAACTCTTCAGCTTGAAATGCTTCACTTCCTCTACTGTACCCTACCATGATATTAACTCACTGGCTCTCTCTGTGGTTTCCTCCTAGGGATTGAGAGGTGAAAGGGGTGACTTGGGCCCCAAAGGTGAAAAGGTAATGACCAGTCCATAGAAATGATAAACTAGAGTGGAAGTGATGGCTCCCTGCTCATCCCATACGTGGAATGAAGGATGGATGGACAGAGAAGCCTCCATTTTGAAAATGGCTGACCAAGCTCATCCTTTGAAGTGTTATCAAAATATTTGTTGCTCTATTCACAGGGTTTCCCAGGATTTCCTGGAATGCTGGGGCAGAAAGTAAGTACCTAGAAGTAGTAAAACACAGGTCTCAGTTAAAAAAAAAATTCAGGCCTCCAAACACAACAAAAGGAGCCCCTATGCTGGGGCTCCTTTTCATCAGGCAGGGAGAATGGGTTTAATTGTGACAGGTTCTGGTCAGGTTTCCCTACCTACCAGGGGAGGGTAGCAGGATGGTTTCCAGCTCAACAGGAGACAGACTGTTCTGTCCAAATAGCAAGAGGATCTTCTTTGCTTTCCCTGCTTCTAAGAGGGACATGGTGATGTTCAAAAGCAGGGACTTCTGTGACAGGGAGCTCAGACCTGAGCTACAGGCCCAGGCGTTTGGCTTGATGACGCTGCTGCCCACACTCCTGAAACACAGATTTAAAGTGGGGTGTGCATACAGTCAGATGTGTGCAGAATTGTTCTAACTGAACGACAGCAATCATTTTATAGTAGGTAAGTTTGTATTTAATGTTTTAATTAAAATAGTGAAATATTCAGTGAACGTCTTATGTAGGAGAAGGCCTAATTTCAAGAGTCTGTTTTGGGTAAATTAAAGAAAAAATATTCTGTAAATGAGAATAGAATGATAGGCAAATATAACAAAAAGTATAAAATCAGACTTTTAGAAGCTTTTACTTGTTAGGGTCTGAGAAAAAGGATGAGGTCAGGATGAGGGGAAGCACTCGGGAATAGAGAGAACGCATCAATGACCATTAAAAACATTTCCTAAGCCAGTGTCGTAACACTGGCTCTTCATACCGTAATGCATTGACATTGAAAAATATTTTAACTCAAGTCTCAAATTGTAATATTTTCAAACATGCAAGTGGATGTGCTTTTTGAATGTTTTGATTTTTAAGGTTCATCTTAAAGTATTATTTTTCAAACTTAGACAAATTTTTATCCTACTGTATCTAGTAGCTAAGTATGTTTAAATATTTTCAGTCATTATACAAATGTGTTGGGGATGGTGGCACAGGCCTATACTCCTACTCCCTGGGAGGCTTAGGTGAGAAGGTTGCTGCAAGTTCAAAGCCAGTCTGAAGTCTATAGAAACAGGAGGTCTTGATTAAAAAACAAAACAAAACAAAACATTATATAAACAAGATAAAAAAGAAAAAAAATCATTTAAAACATTTAGGTTAGCTGGGCATGGTGGCACACACTTATAATCCCAACACTCAGGAAGCTGAGCCAGGAGGACTGCCATGAATTCAAGGCTGGCCTGGGCTACGTAGTGAGTTCAAGGCCAACCTGAACTATATAGGAAGACCCTGTCTCAAAAATACAAAGCAAAACACAACAAAACAAAAAGCAATGAACCATTTAGTGTGGATCTTTATTCAGTGTGACAGTGAACCTCAAAGAATTGTAAGTTACTACAAAACTAGGTACAATGGTTTCTGTGGCCCCTGCACCATTTTTTAGGCTTGGCATCCAAAGGGTTCCTTCTCCCTTTCAGGGAGCTGATATGACTATCATAGTTAGGTCTTAAGAGATAAATTAGATCAAGAAATTGCTGGCTGCTTCCAGTTGGTTAAGAGAAGGGCCACACTTCCTTCTAGCAATCTCTTTTAAAAATTTATATTGTCTACACTACTGTTTTCATCCTGCCAAACAAGACCTCTCCTGGTCTGTCTAAACAGCCAAGGGGAAATTGTGCAAACATCTCCATGGCAACAAAGAATCCATCCTGTCCCCTGACACTCTCACCACCAGGAATGCAGAAGGATACCACAAGCTGGCAAGAAGGCACAGTCTTAAAGAACAGTTCTTGGTGATGCAAGATATTGGGACTTGAATGGGGATGAATTCGTGATGGTGGCTGAGCTGACAGATCATTCAGAGCCCTTACTGTGTATTCTCCAGAATCTTCCACTGTATCACACTGCCGGGTGTCTACGGTTGTCTCTGAGTGGCCAGGGCAGCTCTTGATCAGCACAGGCTGCTGACTAGCAGAAGGTCTCATGGTTGGACCTGTTAAGTTTTCTCATTGGAGGTATATTTTGGGCTGTAAGGAGACTGCAGGAGGCAGGCATAATGTCCTCTACGCAGTCATGGTCCCAAAAAAGCTGTAATCCTATAGACCAGCTCTAAAGTCTAGACTCCTAGAAGACCATGAGGAAGAAAAAGGAAAGGTATGATGGAGGAATGAGTTTTCCAAAACGTTGGCCTAAGCTATGAAATTCTGTGGCTGGTACATTTGGTTCTGATAGTTTAATATAAAATTATTTTGAATTGGGGATGTCGTTCATATCATTCCATCCCTTGTGCAATAATAATATTGACTATCTGAATGCATGTTTGCAACATCTCTCCCCACAAAAAAAGTTTTTATCTAAATCAATGGAAGGGAATTGGAACTCAAAGCAATATTTACTAAAGAGCAGGGAAATGTACATGCCTGATGAAGACCATGTAAATGGGTACAAGCTTCCCAAAGATGATAACTGGCAAAGCTATGTCCAATCATTAAAACCACTAGATTTAACTTTGTGTTAAAAAAAAACAAAACAAAATCAAGCACAATGTAAAAACTTTAACTAAAACAGGCTTTTCCCCAGTTTGGAGTATCCCACATGTGACCAAAATATAGAGACCTGCACTTAGGTTATGTTGGATGTGGCCTCCAATTTGGCCACTAAAATATCTACTGCCCCACCGCTGCCTCTCAGGTGATAAGCAACCAGCTCAGGGTCTTTTCCTCCAAAGACAAGACTGCCTTTCATGTGACACCAGCAGTCTCCTGAGCTTCCAGGCCACCTAACCCCTGGAAAAGACTTGGAGTGATCAAGAAGCTGCCTCACGGGCAGTGATGGCGTAAACCCAGATAGATAAGCCCACTCTGCATGCTTCAGTTCCTTCTTGCTTCTCTTTCTTCTTTCCAGGGTGAAATGGGCCCAAAGGGTGAGCCTGGGATAGCAGGACATCGAGGACCCACAGGAAGACCAGGAAAGCGAGGAAAGCAGGTAAAGGTCCAGGGCTTACCACCTCCCCAGGGCAGAACTTTCTCACCTGGAGGCAAAAAGAGCAGGTCCGTAAGGTCAGTCAGAGATGTCCCGTAGCCCTGGACTCGAGCATCCTCTGGGCTGGGGGACAGAAGCACCACCACTTGCAGGAGCTCCTGGCTGGTCCAGGCTGGCCACAGTTCCAAAGCAGATGGGCAGGGTGGGTCATTTAGCTGCACCTAACACAGAAGCCAGAGGGGGTCTTCGGCTCCCAGGAAAAAGTCTAACTTAACCAAAGCAACAGGAATGGAAGGAAACTCTGCTCACTCCCTCGGGAAACTTCTTTGCCCTCCGTGTTCCAGACAAGTGGGTTTTCGAGAAAGGAAGATAGTACCTTGCAATTAAAGGTCTTTTGGGACTCAGTGACTGGGTGGTTTTCCCCACATGGGACCCCAGTTTATAAATGATCCTTTCTATTGGGCATAGTAAGGACTTAGGGAAATTGCTCATTTTGAACTTTCCTGGTCAGCAAGCTCCTGTGCTGAGCAGTTGATGGGAAGGAAAGAGGGAGGTATGTTTGCCAGGGCAGCTCTAGAACTTTCTCAGGGCTTCGGGAAAATTTTCAGTCTTTTCTGTCGTGTCTGGCCACTCCTGAGAGGAGCCCCTTCCTTTTCGTTTGTCAGTTTATTGGCCTTTTTATTTCAAAAAGATAGTTAAAATTCAATTGTATTGTTTAAATGTTTATTGAAAAGTGACCATACTTCCACTTCGTGGTACCAGACAAAAGCAAAACACCGGCTACCAGAGTATTAAAATACAAATAGTGATAAACCTCACTGCAAAATTTACAAGATCTACATACAGAGAACTAGAAGACATTATGGAGTGGTTTAAAATTTCAATAAACATTTTAAGGTGAAACACTTGAAGATAACATTTTCTGGGGAAACCCAAAAGACTTGAAATCCTTAAAATAATTTTGAAAAAGGAGGAAAATTTTGGAAGGCTTACGTGACAGTATTTCCAGAATTAATATACATTCATAATCTCATTTACTCTTTTAGCTTCTCATACCAGGGAAGCAATACAGTGCTTGTACATGAGTCTGATTTATTTCACTTATAATTATGGGCTTAAGTTGTATCCATTTATTTATAAAAGGCTCCAGTTTATCTTTTTTATGGCTGAATAATATTCTATTATATTAAAAATCTTTTTTTTATTATTATTCCTTGGTTGATGGGCACTTAGGTTGTTTCCAAGATCTGGCTGTTACAAAGTGTGCTGCTATAAACATGGGTACACATATATCACTGTGCTATGATGTTTTAATTCTTTTGGGAAGATACCCAAGAGGGGAATAGCTGGGACAAATGGGGCCTTTAATCCTAGCTTTTTGAGGACTCTCCACACTGCTTTCCAGAGTGCCTGTACCAGTCTGCACCCCTACCAACAGTGGAAAAGGTTTCTTTTTCCCTATAACCTCCAAGCATTTGTTGTTGGCCTATTTCCTAAAGATAGCCATTTTTTTCTGGAGTGAGATGGAATCTCAGTTTTAATTTGCATCTTTTGGCTGTTTAATGACATTGAAAATTTTTTCATGTATTATTTGCCATTTGTATTTCTTCATCTGAGAAGTGTATATGCATCCCAGATGCCCATTTTTTGGATTAGAGCTCTAAATTTGGGAGATCAACTATATGTAAATAATTTTTAAAATTGATATAGGGGTATGATTACATGCACTACTTGTTTGTAATGATAATGCCTTTAAATGTTAGAAGAAAGATATTTTGAACATATATTAAAATATTTGTTTATTTTATTTTTAACTGACAAATAATTATATATTTGGAACTATACTGTGATAGATATATTGTGGAATGGTCATGTCAGGCTAATTAACATATCTGTCACTTCCTACATCAATTATTTCTGGTAAGAACATTTAAAATTCATTTTTAAAAAATAAATACAATCCATCCACTTTGTCAACTTTTTACTTCTCTTTCCACTATAAATTCCACTATAAATATCACAAAAACTTACAAAATTCAGAAAAAATAAGAGAAAACATCTAAAGCTTCAACACTCAACTATATGAACTGTTGGTCATAATTGTACAGTTTGGTATGATTCTTTCCAGAATTATTCTTTTTATACTCCAAGCTGTTTCTTTTATATATAATATATAGTTATTTTTGTCCTTAACTTTTTTAGTTAAAATCACAGTAGTCAGGTTTTTTTGTTGCTGTAGATATTCACTAATGTTTGAGAAAATCCTTTTAAAATACCTGTATCATGTTTTAGTAAGCGGCAGATGGCTTTGACAAGAGAGGTCTAACCATATTGTGTATAATGGTGAAAGGTGGATATTTGGGGTGCAAAGCTTGTCTCATTCTCCTGGTGACTTCTTTGGGCTAGATCCTGTGTGGATATGCCTACTACACCTGCTTTGCTAACTTTTGCCTACAGCAAAACCATCTGGGTGTTGATTGAATACAGATTCCCACAGCATTGTCAAAGGCTTTACTTACCAAAGACTGTGATACAGTTGGCCTGAAATGGGCCTTCAGCAGGATTTTCATTGTTTTGTTTTTTATGCTTCCCTTGTCTTTCTAGTACGCAGCCAGGGTTTAGGACTATGGTCACACTCTGAAGCTAATCACAGTCTCTTGCATGTAAATTTAGGAATGGCAGAGACTCCAGTCTAGCTAATTCAGATCTCTCAAGAACTTTTGAAGTGACAAAATTCCAGTCTAATTTTCAAACTTCTGCATAATGGCTCCACAGTGCTACTGTAGTCACCAATTTCCTTAAAGGTAGGCTCAGAAAAAGGAGAGGAAATATTTTGTCTTGTTCTCCCCTGCTGGTGATTTCCATTCTGAGTATTTTATGCTTTGGGATTAAGAAGCCCGTTGGTGATTGGGAGTAGAGCTCCGGGTGAAGTGATTGCCTCGTGTGTGCAAAGGTTTGGGTTCCATCCCAGCACAGGACACGAACAAAAGAAAAAGTTGATTGACTTTCATCTTCTACTTTTTTCAGACAATGTTTGTCTTTTTCTGGGAAACCAAGACCAGGAAGCCTATTTTTTTTCTACCCCGCTGATACTGATTTCACTGTAGTAAAAGCTATCCCAAAAGCACATCTGTGAGCTCAGAGCAGCTGAGGGAACGCGCTCATCTTTCCTACAAAGTGTCACAGCCAGCCTGGGTGCGCCCCGGCCCGCGCAGGCAGCAGGTACTCCGTGGTTAGTTCTGGCAGCCAGCCATGCTGCTTTATTTCCCTCGTGAATTCGTTTCCTAGCGTAGAGTCCTGTACCCAGGGTTGGTTGCACCTGTGGTATCAGAAGTTCCTGGAGGTTACTGTAAGTCAATCCAAAGCCAGAAATAAAAAAAAATTTAGAAGAGATTTCAGATAGAATTTCCAAACCAGAAGGATTTTAGAAACCATTTAACCCAATTTCCTGCTTTTCACAAGGAAACTAAAGCCCAGGGAGGTGGAGCTGCTGGGAGCTGGGGTCAGAATTTAGGGTGTGGCGACCAGCTTTTCTCATTTCCTTTCCCTGTGACCTCCTGTTGCAGGACTTGCCTTTGGCAGATTCAGGAAAGCACCTGTGGTCTTTTTCCTAAAAACCTTCAGTTAAGGTGGCGAGTAAGAAATAAAAAACGCTTTCCCCAGAGAATGCTGCCCCCTTAGACCTGCTGAAGACGTGCTGGTGCTGAGGACTCGCTTGCTGCTGGGTATCAGAAGCCAGGAACGTTTCCAGGTCCGGCAAGCTGTGTTCTTCCTGTGCTTAGAGCCAGCTGAGCTGGCTGTCAGAAAAGTAAGGGTTAGCTGTGCCTATATTAAGCTGGTGTGACTTCCTCTGCCATTCTGGGATCCATCTTGGTGACCTCCTGAAATGCTTCAGCTTAACTGGGCTTAAGAATGCCCTTCGAAAGGATGACACTGGAAACAAAGTGACCTCACGGATTCCACAGTAAGAACTTAAGGACTCCTGAGGTATTGTCGAGAGGGTCCCCATGGCCATGTTGACCAGGCAGCAGGGCGCATGTCACCTTTCTGACTGGAAGGGAGTCTCTAGCATGCTATTTCTCAGATGTGTGAAAGATTGGGTTTCATCAGGTGGGCAAGTTTGCCAGGCCCAGTGTAGTAAGCAGAGCCACCTAAAGGTCAGTGGTCACTACCCTGATTAGGCCCAGGGCAGGGTGGGGAAAAGCCTGTGGTAGTGCACACCAGCACAATTCTTCGGGGTCACTTTAAGGGTGCCCTGAGGGGAATGGAGAGCTGGATTTGCTGTAGAAACCCCCAGAGCAGGCAGCAAAGGACTTGCCCAGGGAAGTGGCAGCAGCCGTGTCACCAGCTGGCCCGGGTCCTTAATTTTTGTATTAAGAGAAGTGAAAACCAAAGCACAAATTTACAGAAAAGATGTTTTAAATTAGGGAATTAGAGGGAAAATAAGAAAGAACTCCAGCTTAGGTAGCTGAAGGCAACACATTCTGATACTGGGGTTCAGACTGGCCCACTCACAAAGGCAGAAGGTCGGACTTTTAAAGGTTAGCTGGGGGTCTGGGCCCTGGTGGAACATTATCTCAGTCCTAGTATCATAGTATCATAGAATCTTGTGGCTTGGTTTTGTTCCCAGTGATTGAAAGTTCAGCACAAGCAGGTTCAGGACAGTGACTGGAGAAAGCATAGTTGGATGTCTCTGAAAAGAACCCCTCCTGGGTTTTCATTCTTTGTGTGTGTGTGTATGTGTGTGATTTGCTTTGTTTTGTTAGAAAAAATACTCAAGCAGTCTACAATCATTGGTCAGTTAAGAATGACTTACAAGAATATGACACAATAAAATAAAAATACAGGTACAAACTATATATCTGGAACACTTCTATTTGGCAATTTTATAACAAATCAAAATTTAAAAAGAACAAAGGAGATTGCAGATTACAGATACAGAATAAAGCAACTGAAGTACTTAAGCAAAGAAAAAATAGTAAGAAAGCACGCTGCTTTTCTTTTAAAAAATAAAATCACATTTGCTACAGATCAATTGGATAATACCCTTGTTAAACAACATTCCAGAATGTCTTACAGTAGCAGTGCTTTTATTTGCACTTCATTTAATTTTCTCTGACTCATTTCGTGTATATACCTCTTTGGGGTTTTCAGTCTTGAAAAGGGTAAGATTCTATAAATTCAGGGCTAATCACCTCGTTTTGCCAGTTTTTAGACAGACACTCTGTAAATGAATAACATATCTGTATGTAGACCTGAGAAGAGGTTTGACCCAAATTTTACAGAAACAAAGGGTACAAAATGGAAGTCAAACTTCATTGCCTGTGGAGCACTGTAGGCCCAGCGAAGAGCCAAGGTCGGTACAGAAATGGCTTTTGCGAAAGGAAAGCCGAATCATGCTTTAGGAGCAGCAGGCAGGGCCCAGGATGCTGCCTGTTCCCGCAGCCCTCTAGCGATCCCAGCTGTCTTATTATTCTTGTACAAATAAAATGGGCTGTGTCGACCCAGGAGTCCTTAACTCCTTAAGTGAATGTCTCTCTCTAGTTTATTTCTAGTTCTATTTTCTCAACCTTACCAATAGTTTGAACTTTGTATGGGGCCCTGGACCTTAACCACAAGCTTGTGTGGATCTTCTCTGTAGCTAAGAGTCAAGTGAAGATCACTTCTTTGCTTTCCAAGTGGCTGCTAATCTGCCTGTCTCCAGCCTTCTGGGGACTGACTTTCCACTTTCATTATGACTGCATCAGCTGCAGGGTGCCTTTATTTAAAAACTCAGGTCTTCTCTCACCATGGGAAAGAGATGAAACCAGACCTGCTGCTGTGCCGTTCGCCTCGCTCCACCTAACCCTTCACCCTGTGCAAACCATGTTTCCGTGTCTGTGATCTTTGTTAGCCTCACAACAGACCTATGCAGGAGTATATTTACTGGACCCATTCTGTGGAAGACAAAACTGAGGCGCAAAGCAAGGACAATGAGATACACAGGGTCTCATGGTCAAGGTGAAACTTCTTGCTTTACAGATCAACAAACCTCTCAGTGCTTTGCGCTGTCTGCTTCCTCCTCCTCCCTCATTTGACCTGAGGGGAGGGGAGCACGGTAGATTCCAGCCCACAGGAAGCACGTGTCTCACAGAGGACAGTGATGAAAGGACACTCAGATTATCTCTGCCCTACAGTCTTGGATAAATGCTGCGAAGGGAAAGCTCCGAGTGAAGGGACCTGATGCCAGGAGAAGGAACCCACTTGGGTGGGGGAGGTCAGGGATCTTTGCTGAAGCACATTTGAGCTAAGAGGTGAAGACACAGAGGAGGGAAAAGGAAAAACGGCCCAGAAAGAAGAGTTTGGGGAAGACAGATACAAGTTCAGTATTCTTGGAGATCCAAAATGCATAAAACTCCAGAGTCTAGGAAGCCTGGCCAAGGCCAGCTGCAGAGGCTGAGGAAGGAGCTGGGTCTTTATTCAGAGAGCAACAGGAAGCCAGTGGCTGGGGATGGCTCTTGAGGTGAAATAAAAATAGTCCCACAGGTGGGAAGGAAACCTAATTCTAGGCTCCACTGCCACCTCCAGGCTAGAGGACTGGCCCAAATCCCTGCTGGTCTCTGGAGCTCCAGGCTCTAATTCGTGCTGGGGGAGCGGTGAATGGGTTCCGTTTGATGTCAAGTTTCTAGGACAGCGCACGAACCAAGGCCTGCCGACTTAGCACCATCACTGTTTCCAAGCATCGCCTGCTCTGAGCCTTTTAGGAGCTTGGTCTTCGGGACCTCTGGGGCTGCGTCGTGCCCTCAGCTTTTGCTCCTACGTGCCGAGTTGGTCCTGACTTAGAGTGCAGTGGGGAAGGAAGATGTCTATGTCATGGTCTCATTACAGGCTCTGCCTCTCTTTCCATCAGGGACAGAAGGGAGATAGTGGAGTTGTGGGCCCTCCTGGCAAGCCTGGGCCTTCTGGTCAACCTGGCCGTCCAGGCCCTCCGGGACCCCCAGGGCCCCCATCTGCAGGTAAGAGCTATACAGCTTCACTGGATCTACAGGGGTGCCAGCTGCCCTGGACAGGACACCAGGAGACACCACAGAGCTCCACCTTCTGTCTTCAGTTAGAAACTGCCAGAGGCACTTTACTGTCTTTGTAATTTCTCTATAGTTTCCCTCATTCCACTTTTATATAAGCAACACATAATGCCATATGAAATAAACTTTACTTATCTGCATTGAAGATAGGGAAGAATTCCTAAAGAGGAACCAAAAGTCCAAGGTCCAGGAGTGCATGAGTGTGTTGCTACCTTGTTTAATCTTTTTAATTTGATTAGTTGTGTCCTTTATTTTGGTCCCCTGCAAGGCTTCTCAGACACCTTCTCTAGGTCCAAGAAGAAAAAACAAAAAAAGAACCGCTGAGTGTACAGGACTTTTTTCGTCCTCAGTTTATAAAAGAAATCAAAATAATTTTTATTCCAATGTGTTTCTTTAAAAAGTGAAGACGTTAAAATCGCACTGCAGCCTTTTTCCACGTTTCTGTGAAGGTGCTGGTAGCCACATTGCAGGACATACAAGAAACACATTTTGTTACATTCTTTAAACCAATCGAAGCTGGCCCTAGACCCCAAGCTGTCAGGATGCGGAGGAGATTCAGTCCTCGGCACTGGGGTTCTCTCTCCTTCTCCAACTGTCACAGAAGGGGTGGGCAGTGATCCTTGTGAATTAGGGCAGAAAAGCATCAGAGGAGGTCCCTGCATCCTTTGGTCGGCACTTCTGGAATATCGGCCTTCCAGGGCTGTGGCTCAGGGGTGCCTGTTACTCCACCACGCAAGGCTTGAGCTGTATCACAACACAGCAAGGCTAGGTGTCGTGGTCTTTGTGGCTCACTTACCATGGAGCACTCACAGCCATTTTTTAAAGAGAAAAATATAAAGATAAACAGACTTTCAAAATAGGGTAATAGGAGGGTAGCAATAACTAATACATTGTGTATTGTTATCTTCACAGTAGTTACTCAGAGTAAAGATATAGGCATGAAATACTGCCCACACAATATTAGCACAAACCTTTCTTCTCAGTGAACTAAGAGAAACTAGCTGTATAATTATCTTAGCTATCTTTCCTTCTTTCCCCTTTTTTCCCCATCATAGTTTCTCTTTTCTTTTGAACAATTTCTTACCAATTCACAGTATCTAGTGTACATTTTGGATCCTTTACTCTTTCAAGTTCGCACACTAGTGAGAAAATATTTACACACGTGGGTCTGATTTATTTCACTTACGAGTATGGTCTCAAGTTGCAACCATTTACCTACAGAAGTCTCCAGTTTATCCTTCTATATGACTGAGTAGTACTCCACTGTATAAAAATACCACATCTTTTTTATCCATTCCTTGACTGATGGACAGTTAGGTTTTTTCCAAGATCTGGCTATTACAAATTGTGCTGCTATAAACATGGGTGCACATATATCACTGTGGTGTGATGTTTCTAATTCTTCTGGAAGATACCCAGAAGGGAAATAGCTGGGTCAAATGTGGCTTCTAATCCTACTTTTTTGAGGACTCTCCACACTGCTTTCCACAGTGGTTGTACCAGTCTACACCTCCACCAACAGTGGAGAAGGTTTGTTTTTCCCCAAAGCTCCCCCACCCTCCAGCATTTGTTGTTGGTTTATTTCTTAAAGACAGCCATTCTTTCTGGAGTGAGATGGAATCTCAGTGTTGTTTTAATTTGCATCTCTTGGATGTTTAGATGTTGAAAATTTTTTCATGTATTTATTTGCCATTTGTATTTCTTCATCTGAGACATGTGTATTCATCTCATATTGGGCCATTTTTGGATTAGGTCTCTGAATTTGGGAGGCCTGATGTTTTTCCAGTTCTTTGTATGTTCTAGATCTACAACCACTCTTTTGGAGTCTTTGTCTCTTCCCCAGCATACAAGAGTTCTGTCTTCCGTCTGTCTAGGGAAATCCCTTCCCTTCCACTCTCCAATTAAGTAACCTGGATTTGAGATGCAGCCCAGGCCATGTGTTCATTGCCCATAACCTGCTTCTGTGAGCAGCCAGCTGACCTGGTTGCTTCTTTTACCTCGTCTGCATCCTCTTTGGTCCTGGAACCAAAGTTTTCCATAGAGCTCCATGACTGTGAGCTGCCAGTTTCAGAATCTGAAAAGTGTGGGTTTCAAGCTCATTGGTACACAGAGAGTTTATCTGCCATCATAAAGGCTCCCAGCATCTGACTTGTACTCTCGTTCCCTCCTGGGGCCTGGGGTTGAATGACAAGGCCAGGCCTGAGCCAGTGCTCAGAAGCCAGCTGTTTTGCCCACCCATCTTTGGTGTATTGTAGCTCCTTGCCTTTAGCAAGCCTGACAGAGTCCAGTGTTGCCTCCCTGACCTTCTGGCTCCTTCTCTTCCAGCCTAACATGTCTACTGTCTTTCCCTCCACTATCTCACCCTCCACCAGATCCCAGGCTGACTGGCATCTGCTCTCCAGCAGACACCAGAAGGATATAAGTGAATCAGTGGTGGTACCTGGGAATTGCTAGCTTCCTGAGAGCAAGATAATGTTCTCTGCCAAGCTGGAACATTATCCTGTGATCTCTCTGGGTCCGTGTGACCTGAGATGACTCTCTTCTCACCCCCTGCACAACAAAATCCTCTGCTTCCTCCAAAGCCCTCTTTTTAGTGAAGATACAAGGGCAGGTCATCTTCTCTTGAGGCTCGTCACACAGCGCCTTTCTGTGGTGGCCCCACATTGGGCACTGTTTCCTGCATATGTGTTTCCTCTTACTGCTAGGTGAAGGTCCCTGGAGGACAAGGTCTGTGACTGAGTCAGCTTCAGATCCACCTCCCACCATGGCACCTGGTGACTGAGCTGAGCAGGGCTGGTCCTGCACGTGCTCACATCCCGTCTCTGCTGGGTTACAGCCAGCAGCCAAGCAGGATCAGGCTCCTCTCTTTGAACCAGTGTCCCCTCCTCTTCACCTTCTTTTGTGTTACTTCCTTTCTGAAGAGCCTTCCAAGAGAGAGTGGGCTCAAGAGGGAACGGAGGAAAACTGGGACAATAACCTTGTTCTTTGTAAAGGTTTGTGGAGGTCATAGGTGGAAAAAGGGGAAGGCAGGAATTTAAAATCGCCATGCATAAGACCAGCTGGATAACCCTCCATGGCTGTTGAGGCCCCTAAAGGATTCTGGGGTTACCTGTGAGAGAATGATAAAAAGTCCAGAACCTGCTCTCAGGAAGGAACCGTACACCTGCATCCAAAATGCTGAAGCCCTTCTCCAAAGCCATCTGTGACAGCCTGGGGTTCCACTAACCATGAGCTGGTCTCCTTGGGCCCAGTCCAGTCCTCCTTTAAGGATGAGAACCTGGAGCCTCAGAGAAAGTTGACTTCCACTAGATCGCAGAGCTGACTCCTCCCCCCACCCCTACCCCGCATCCAGAGTCACATGGCCTCTGAGGATTGTTGCACTGGCCTCTCTGCCTCCTCCAGAGTAGCAAGCTTGAGGTGGGGAGTTCAGGTTGCTGTGACCTTCAGGAAGGCAGGAAGCAGGCAGGGGCAACGGATGCCCTCCCAGCAGCTGGAAGGAAGTGGCAGGAAAACCGTCATGGTGGCATTAGGCTCCCTGCCATGTCCTGTCAGGAGGCTCCCCGGGGTTCTGCTGCCCAGCACCATGAGGCCAGATGATGCCAGGAAGTTGGAGAAGGTAGCAGCTCTTTAGCTACCCAAGTGTCAGGGAAAGAGAGGCTGGAGAGGGAATAAAGGCAAAAGGCCTCTAGGAAGGATGTGATTTGCAATTATCAAGTTACAAACCTAGCCAAGCCCTTCCTGCACCCAGGAAGGATATAAGTGAGACAGTGGTGGTACCTGAGAACTGCCAGCTTCCTGAGGGCGTCAATATTCCAGGAGCTCATCTTTTGGGTGGCGCATTGTTAGGTCAAACATGAGTTCAAACTTCAGCCTTGCCACTAATGAGTTAGATAACTGGAAAAATTCCTAATTCACTGAGGCCATAGTTCTGGAGGAGTCATGGGGCCACAGAGCCTTTAGAAGGCTGCTCGAGCCCCTGGTCACAGAGCAGTCCCACTTCAGTCTTCCCAAGTGCTTAGCTACCTAGAAGAGTCCGGGGCTGACGGTCTCTCTGGGCCCTTCCAAAAATATCAGAGCACAAGACTGGAGCTCTTTGCATAGAATCATATTCATATTTTTGGTCAGGTCAGACAACCATAAACTGGAATAAGAAACTGGCAGCCTCCTTTCCATGCTGTCAGAATTCTGATCTTAAACAGCTCTGCCAGCCAGCTCTGGGCTGGTGGGGGGCTCAGGGAGTTGGGGTCTTTTACCAGCAGCTTCCTTATTTGTGGTCCCAACCAGACTTCTCTCTTGAAATCATTTTGTTTTCTGTCCTTCTGGGCACCTAAACACTGAGTTCCCAGTTCCTGTCTGCCCCAGATATTATATTGCTGACCCCCATGACTGGCTGCTCTCCAGTTTCGCTTTGTTCTCCCAGGATGGGTGCATGGCCGTTCTTCTCAGTCCTGTCTTATTGGCTGTTTCCTCTCTGCCTGTTTGATAAACTTTGTTGTAGCGCTGCTCTGCCAGCCAGAGTACGATTTCTAGCTTTCTTCTCCAATAGTCTGCATTCATTCACTCATTCATCAAACACGTGCCATGCCCCAACTCCTTGTCAAGCCCCAGGGGGTAAAAATAGCTGCAGCCCTGCTGTGCTCGTGGCGCTTACGTTCTGCCAGAGAAGACAGAGCCTGATGGGAGAATCTCACCTATGTGGGCTGCACAAAGAAATGCTGTGAAGGAGAGACATAAGGAGCTAAGAAACTGTGTCTGGGGTGACCACGAGAGGGTACAGGATTCAGAGCGGCTTCCCTGAGGAAGTAACGCATGAAGCCAGATCAGAAGGGAGTCAGGGGAGGGGGTGCACAGAGGATGGAGAGGGACCAGCCCGTGCAAATACCATCTCCCTGGGCCAGCAGGTCTCAGTCTCGGTCGACACTGAAACACCTTGAGAGCTTTTATGGTAGCTTAGTGGTAGAGCACTTGAGCATGTACAAGGTCCTGGGTTCGGTCTCAGCACCCAGCACACACACACACACACACACACACACACACACACACACACTCACACACACACACGCACGCACGTATACACACATGGATGCCTACATTCCAGTCTTAGAAGTCTGAATGAAACTGGCCTGAATGAGGGGTGGCCTGGACAATGGGGTCTTCAAAGGACAAGGTAAAACCAGGCACAGTGGCCCTAGGTACTCATGAGGCTGAGGCAGGAGGATCACTTGAACCCAGCAGTGTCAGACCAGCTTAGGCAGCATAATGAAACACTGTCTCAAATATTAAAAATAAACAAAAGTCAAGGTGACCTTTGTTACCCTAACAATTCTTCCACATTGTTAGTAAATTTCCTGGTCATATCTTCAGGATGTGTTCTGATTTTTCTCAGTGTCCGTGAAGACTAAGTGAGCTGAGAGTGTATAAATGTCCCACTTTTTTCCTGGAGAAATAAAAGAAGCCCACATCCAGAAATTCTTTAAATATTTATATCTATATATAATTAAAAACAATAAAAGTTATTCTTCAGCAATGTGTTCTTCTGCAAGAACTCCCGTTAATAAGTCAGAACAAATATGGCACTGTTTTTCTCTAACAAGGAAATCCAGAGAGAAACGGTACCTGGCTTTGGTTCAGCTCCCAAATCGCTGTTGAAAGCCAGTTCCATGAGCCCCTTGGCTTTCCTGCATGATGGCTGTCTTCTCTGTTACGTCTGTTACTGTACTGTTGCAAGGTGGCGGCTGCAGCAACAGCTTTTCATCTATCTGTGAGGCAAGAATGAAGGAGAAACTATCCCTCTCACTAGCTGTCTCTCCCCTTATCACCACCGCATCTTGGATCACAGTCAACTCTTTGGATCTCTCCTTCAAGCCTGCCCCCAGATGCCTTTCTGTTGTACCCGGGGTTTATATCTCCCTGCACGGTTTGGTTTTCTCTTCCTTGGTGCTCGTAACACAGTGATCTGTTGCTTTCTAGGACATCTTGTGATGGGACTCAAAGGGGAAAGAGGACTTCCCGGGCCTCCAGGAAGATGCCTCTGTGGATCCCCTAGGAATGTGAACAACCCTTCCTCTGGGGAATCCGTGTACGGGCCCAGTTCCCCAAGAGTTCCTGTGGTGAGGCTCCTCTGGGAAAAGTCTGGGTGGCTGTCCATGAGGACCTCCTCCCTGGTCCTCTCAGGCCTTTCAAGGCTCCTTTTGGTAAAACTTCCTTTTCCCCACTACACTGGGCACACATTTGTCAAAGGAAATTGCAACACAGCGGGAAATCAAAAGAAGGAACTCAGACCGTCCATTTGGTTATGGGTTCACTTTTCGGTATTTCCTTTGTCTTTTTTAAAAAACAATAACTTTGATATGGTTCAGATTATATTGTATAAAAATGTGATCTTCTAGTTATCTATTGAAATTCTGCCCTGTTTCTGAAAATGCCATTCTGAACCTTTTATTATAGCAATTTTCAAATAAATATAAAAGAACAAATCCCAGGCATACTTCCCCCAACTTTGACAATGACTAACTCACATCTAATCCTGTTTCCCTCTTTTTTCTTTATGCCTCCTTTACTGCCTGCCCTCCTTGGAATTATTTTGAAATAAACTGTGGGCATCAATTCATAGAAACATCATTTAAGTGGGTACAAGCTCATCCACCCATTATGTAGCTTTGCCATGGTTTACTTCTCCCTGTTGGTGGATATTTGTGTGACGTGCCCAAGCTTTTCACTGATATAAAGAATACTGCAAAGAACATCTTTGAGTGTGATCGTTGTGTTAAGAATCATTTCCAGATGCCAAGTTACCTAACCATGTGAATCTTGGGAACATCCAAGATATTTAAACATGGCTGATCATGGCAGGTACCTTAATTTTAAACTCAGACATTAGGAACTGAATTGAGAGACGTGGTCAGGACAGCTTCGCTCTTCAGAGCTAATGATACACTGTGTGATGAAACCATGCCCCACTGGGAAGCAGCCCAGCACAGAGATCGAGTTCCTGCCTCTGTTTCCCCTGCCCCTGGGAGCAGTGCTGTCTGGAACCCTCACAAGTGCTTTCTCTGGCAGATTTTCGTGGTCAACAACCAGGAGGAGCTTGAAAGGCTGAACACCCACAATGCCATTGCCTTCCGCAAAGACCAGCGATCTTTGTACTTCAAGGACAGTCTTGGCTGGCTCCCCATCCAGGTAGCTCACGGGAGACCCCTCAGCATGGCCCCTGCTGCTGGCTCTCAACCAGGAAAGGGATGCATGCAAGAAAGAACAGGAAGCCTCTTCCGGCTTCGTCCTTTGGGCCTGGACAGAGCTACTGCTCTCTGTCTCTGTGGCAGGGCTGAGCCTCCTGCTTCTCACACTTTCTGAGTCCACATCCGTCCCCCTGAGCCAAGGTCCCCAGCAGTCTCTGGGACCCTGCAGTACAAAAGTTCCATGTTCATCAGACCCAGTATTCTGCCAAGTCAAGAACTCTGATGGGAAAATACCTCTCTACTCCCAAGCCAAGGGACGCCCCATCTCTCATGCCCCTCAGGCCCAGAGCACCTGTCCCCAGTGACCTCCCTGCCCTACCACTGCCTGGGCATGACGCCTCCCAGGTTAACCTTGTGTGTCTCTTTGGCCAGCTGACCCCTTTCTACCCTGTGGATTACACTGTAGACCAGCGTGGCACCTGTGGGGATGGGGTCCTGCAGCCCGGGGAGGAGTGTGACGACGGGAACCATGATGCGGGCGACGACTGTGTCAGTGAGTGGAGCCCTGCCAGGGTGGCCCTGAGACCTGAGCAGCTGGTGGGGTGGGGTGATCTGGACCCCAGGTGTAGTGGTTTGGGGCCATGCTGGAGCCAGAGAAGGTGTGTCCTGATGGCCTTGGCGACCACCCTCCAATCTCAAGCCAAATGTTAGTTCTCCCACTACTGAAGCATATCAATCAGTGAAAATCAAACTTTTTGCCTCCAGGGGAGCCTTCCCAGGCCCCCTCTTTTTTCAGTCTTTTTTTCAGTACTGAGGATTAAACCCAGGGTCTTCAACTGAGCTAAATCCCCAACCATTTTTTATTTTTTATTCTGAGACAGAATCTAAATTGCTAAATTGTCTAGGCTGGGCTTGAACTTGCAATCCTACTGCCTTAGCCTCCATAGTCTATTTGAGAAACCATACTTTCCAAGCTCAAAAGAAAGGTAATGGGCTCTTGCTTTGTATGCAGTACCAAAAGACAATAGTGGGGGGAGGCGCAGGTTGGCATTCAGAGCCCTTCCCCTGTGACACAGGCCCTGTGAGGGAAAGCTGGGCTCCCCTAGCTGCCTCCAGCTGAGGCCGTTGCTGAGACATAGGCTGTAGGCAGCACGGTGCTGGGCGTTTGCTTTGCTTTTTTTTTTTAAGCCAAGTGACAGAAGCAGCAGGAGAGGTAAAAAGCATGGTTTTCCAAGTCAGAACAGGGTGCAAATGCAAGCTCTGGTAGCCAGCAGGTCAGAGGGGAGACCCTCAGGCTCGCAGCCTGAGCCTTCCCTTCGCTATAAGATGCATCTGGGGCCCTGACTCCCAGATCTTGGGAGCTTCTGATTGTCTGACATGGTGAGGGCTCAACAGGCTCTGGGTGAGCTCGTCTCTGACTTGGTTTGCCAGAGTCATTCGACGCAGAGCACACGGTCCTTGTCCTCAAGAAGCTTAAGGGGAGAGGACAGAACAGAAAGATGAAGCTATGGCGGGGTACATGCAGTGTACAAGGGGAACCCAGGGGACGGTGTAGCAGCACTGTCCTCTGGGGACTCCCAGGGTGCCCACCCTTTAATGCTATCCCTTCCTGAGGTCCCTTCCCCTCTGCCCATGTGCAGACACTCAAATAGGTGCTCACCCCGTAGAAAAGACCTAGTTGGGATCTCTATATCCTGAAAAAACGAAGGGGGTTCATCCTTGAATGAGAGTAGCAATCTTTGTAGAAGATCACGTGGTTCCTGGGGACAGGCTGGGCTCCCGTTGTTACCACCCTGGGCCCTTCTCTGCGGTCAGGCAGCAGTTACCGCGCTCCTTCTCTGTGTCAGATGTCCCAGGCTCCTCCCTCTCCCTTCACAGGAACTCACGGAGGTCCGTGCTGGGTGGACAGGGTCTCTGTCCCACTTCTGCAGCGGCAGGCCCTGGCTAGTACATGAGGGGTCTGACTAGAGTCCCAGTTTCTCACTCTGGTTCCGCGGTGTGTCCGTGGGAGACTCTGGGTCCGCAGCACAGGCATGGGGTAGGGGTGTCTGAAGCCTGGTACAGTGGTTTTCAGACAGGCGTGGTGCCCTGGGGGACCTTGGGACTGCACAGCCCTACAGGCTGAGGCAAGCCTGCGCCACCCCGCCTTCTCCGGGCTGCCCTCACTTGTGTCCCCTCAGGCTGTCGTCGGGCCTACTGTGGAGATGGTCACCGGCATGCAGGCGTGGAGGACTGTGATGGCTCTGACTTTGGCTACCTGACGTGTGAGACCTATCTACCCGGGTAAGGAAGAGGTCCTGCACCCTCATGGCACTCATCCTCAGTGCCCTCCGTTCCTCTCCCTCTCAAACATTTCTCAGGGTCTCTCACCTTCCTGGTACTTTCTAAATCCTGGGGCAGGGAGAAAAATAACAGTGCATACTCCCCACTCGCAGGGAACTTTCTGCTGGATCCCAGTGCATCGTCTCTGTTGGAGCAGAAGTCCCTGGTGCTGAGCGGGGGCAGACACAGCTGCCAGCTGTGTCCTCCCAGGGAGCCAGCAGGCAATCCCAGAGGTTACCGTGGCCAGGCCACCTCCTGGCTGTGGTCTGAGAGGGAAGCCCAGTGGAGAGGGGTGATGGCAGAGCATCCAAAGAATCTACACTTCTGCACAATCTGAAGTCCCTGGAGTACTCTCCTGCCCCTCAGCCAGGCCTGTGGCAAGAGTCAGATTAGAACAGTATTCCTCCGGGGACTGGCCCCTGAAGTCTTCTCTAGGAGTCCTCAAGGGGTCATCACGCCACTCAGGACATGTGTGTTAGTGTCCCAGCCTCCATGGTGACCTCTCTCAGACCATCTCGGAGGCACTGGCCCCTAGAGGTGCTGGTTGCACATCTAGAATGTAATCTTGTGGTACAGAAGGGCCCTGTGTTTCCCTCCTCCTCACAGAACCAGAGTTGTAGATAGGAAGGCCGTTACCCCTCACACTGTATGTTGTTCTTCCCTGGACTCCAGATGGGTCTGCTGGCCTCTTAGATCTCTGGGGTCCCTCAGGCCCTCAGCAAGGCTGGGGAGCAGACGCTAGGCCTGTGTCTCCTCGCCTCCATTTTTTCTTCCTAGCAGTCTCCTTAACATCTGCCCACCAGAGCTTATTCAACCAGGCTGGGGAGTTGCACACTATGGTCACCAGGAGCCTCCAAGCTTGTGCAGGCTCGGCCCAGACACCAATCACACATCTGCATATACTGCCCCCTCCCTGAGAGTGCAGTGCCTGCCTGGCAAATGCAAGGGCCTAAGTTCAGTTCCCAGTACCAACAAAAAAATAGTTTTAAAAAAAAAAAGACTAGAAGTCTCCTGAGAGGCAGCTGCCAGAGTCAGCAGAGCTGAGCGGCTGGATGACTCCATGAGGTGCTGGCAGTGTAGACGGTTATACCCAAAGTACAGACTTGTGCAAGGTCCAGAGTTACATGCTGACTCACTCTAGTCAGTGAAGGCCCAGAAGCCCCAGAGAGAGGCTTGTAAATGAGTGAGTCATGTATAAAACTCTGTCTTGGGATTGCCATTTCCGTTTACAGAGGTGTAGAGTGCACTGCTGGGTATGGTTGCCCCTGCTAGATATTGTTATTCAAATTCAAAATAATTAGAATTGAATTTAAAGGTCAGTTCTATAGTCACCGTAACTGTATATCAAGAGCCCCGTAGCCACATCTGGCTGGTGGTGTCATCTTGGGCTGCACGGATACACAACTGTGTCCCATCTCACAGGCAGTCCTAGAGAGGGCCCTGAGAACGGAGGATTGTCTGAGTTAGGAGCACGGCCAGTGCCCCTTCCATCCTGGTCCCTCCACTGTATCCCCAGAGCCTGACTCAACTTCCTCAAGCTCCACACCCCAAACGAGAATGAGGAAACTTTGCCTGGAGTCCTCACTCCTTAGTGAGAGGGCAGCAGGAGCTGCTGTTTGATGCAGTTTGACAGTCACCAAAGCTGGCCGTTCGAATGTGGCCTTGCCCTCGGAGCTGGGCACAGCTCAGCTGCCCATGGCCGTGTTTTCCCTGGCCCTTGTCTTTGTCCCCTCAGGTCCTACGGAGACCTGCGGTGCACCCAGTACTGCTACATCGACTCCACACCCTGCCGCTACTTCACTTGAGGACCTGAGGAGCAGGCTGTGTAGCTGACAGCCGCTTCCCACCCTCCTCAAGCTGGCCTTGCATTTTCCTGGGCCAGTGTTATCCACCAACCTGTGTGTGAACAAAATGAGGACAAGCTCTTGCTGCTGAGTCGTGCTTTTGACGGTCTGACTGGAAGAATTTAGGACCACTGTGTCCTGTCTGGATCCAAAATACTGAGTAACCTTCCACATGTCCACCCTGGAAACTAACTGTTCCCTGTCTTTACCATCTGGCCACGTGTCCTTTTTCTTCTGGAATGTCACTGTAACAGGCCACGGACTTGGCTTTGCACTGTTACATACCCGCCCTGCAGGGCTGTTTTCTTTTGCTCCAGTTTCCCCCAGAAGCCTGGGGTACAGACTTTTCTGCCTGAGGGACTTCTAGACACATCCATTCTCACCAGGGCAGCCTGCTTGCAGGGCTTTGCAGGCCTGAAGACCACAAGGCAGAAAGGTGGACACATTCTCTCCATGTGGCCGGCAGCTTTGGACTTGCTGTGGGAGTTCAACTGCCACACCATGTGGATGTGGTTCCCCAGGAAGACTCAACTGTGAAAAAAGTACTGAGAGCCACAAGACCTGTGCTCCCCAGCAAAGGGCGGAGGCCCTGCTGACCTGCGTTCTGTGTGAACAGTGCCAGGGCAATGGCCTGCCTCTCTTGACATCTCCCAAAGGGACAACTCGGAGTGTCTAAAGCTCTGGCACCATCTTAACCTTGCAGCTGCCTATGCACATTGACCTCTGTCTGGCCAGTGTCCTTCATGACCACTTCCTGTTTAGGAGTCTCACTCCACAAGTCCACACCGGGTGGGCATGGGAGTCTCCTTGTCTCTAGGGAGATACGGTCTTGGTTTTCCCTGTCTGGGGTCCCATTGAGCATACTCTCACAGAGACTGTTTCTGTCCTGGCCCCCATCATGCTTCTTGCCAACTCTTGTAAGTACCCTGTGACCTTCCCTCTGTGTCTGTGTCTCCCAGCTGCGTGCCTGAGCTCTTCCCTTCCCTACAGGGGTCTGCGAGCTGCCTTTCATCACCACCTTTCCTGACTGGAGCTTGGCTTGATTTGGCAATGACTTCTCCAGGATTTTCCCAGTAGTAACTAGATGGAGGACCCTCACCTGCCCTCCTGGCTTTGCGCAGAGCTGTTCAAGGAGCCTGAGTCTTTAAGACTCAGCAGGCAGGAGCTTCTGGTCCATTAGCTCATCTAGGGTGACTCAGAGGTGAACCTTGTATCCCAGAGGTCACATCAGCCGAGGATGGTGTCTTTGAGGCAGACGCATTGGTCAGCTAGTCCCCTTGGCCTCTAGGCAATGTCTCGAGGATACGATGCTTCCACCACCATGCTGGGACTTCTGGATGGGAAATCAAGAAATAAAGGCAATTCCTCATTGTGGCTCTCTCTTCCTTGGGGGTTTGGGGCCAATCTCTCAGTGTTGCTAGATAGAATGACGAGACTGAATTCAGTTCTGCTTCTCAGATTCTGAAGAAGGTTCTGGAATGTGAAAGCATTTCAACTCCCTCAAGGACAGAGGAAGAAAGAGAGATCAAAAAGTTCAGTGTCACAAAGCCTAATCTTGCTATCCCAGTCCTGCCTCTGACCAGGCGCTAAGGCTGGAGATCTATTAGTGCCCTTAGTTAGACCTGGCCAAGAGGGGCCCATACCTTGGAAGGCAGCTCCCTGGTCAGGCCTGACCCTCTTGAGGCTGGCTGAAGTGTCTGTGGGGCTGTGGTGAAATTCCTGCAGGACGTGCACACCTTCCTCTTAGAGCATGTTCCCCAGGTTCCCAAGAAACCAGTTCCCTGGCCAAGATGTCCTAACCCTGCTTCCAAGGCCCACATGGCTATCTTCCTCATGCTTGCCCTCCTGGGTATAGCCTGTACATGTTGCTAAGCCTGAGGGGTAGCTAGGGAAGAGCTGTTTGTCGGGATTGCAGAGGGAGCTTGGATGTGCCATAGGTGCCCAGGAAGCCCCTCTGTATGGGATGAGCGCCGGCATAGGATTTGTGGGATCTAAGTCCTTACATATGCCTCTCCCTTCTGGTCCATATGAAAACATATCAGCTATTTTGGGGAAGGTTCTGAAAGGCTTCAAAATTATATTTAAAGGATATACAGAATATTGACAACTCTGCCGCATTAGCATTTTGAAATGGAAAAGTGATCGATCAGGGCAAACAGGTGATCCTCCTCCCCTCCCCACCCCACCCTAGCCCTCCTTGAAATGCTGACTCCTGACGCAGAGAACAGTTTCCCCTGATCAGAAGTGGGTGCGCTGCCTGGGCTGGGCTGACACACAATAGACAGCTGAGTGCTCACCTGTGTCAGGAAACTGTTTTCTGAGACAGTGTGAGGCCAGCTGAAAGGTGAGGTGCTACACAGTAAAGGGGGGAACATGTAACTGGGAAGCAGGTCCCCGAGGGCATGCATGGTTCTCCACTTCTTGGAGCTGAAGGAGACTTTACACAAGGAACTTCCCATTCTAGGAACTTGCAGGTGTGGCTCTGTCCTCTGGCACTGGCAGGGTACTCCTTAGGGAATGATGGATATTTTCAGCCACTCCTGAGGTGATTTAGAAGGAGTGGTGGAGAATATGGCCTAGGCCTGTCTAGATACCCTCATGGATTGATAATATATTGGCTCATACAATTTAAAAGTCCAGTAGTGGATGGAGGTCAGGCATGGTTCAATCAGAGCACCACCTCATTGCTCGGCTATCAGGTCTATGTGCATCTCTCTCTTTGGTTAGTTTGATCCTCAAGGTGGTCATGAGCTGACTGGTGCAGTTTTAAGCTCATATCTGCACCCCTACCCTCCAATATCCAGAGGAAGAGAGATCTATTTCACTGGGAAATACTGTCCAGAAGCCCCTCAGTAATCCTGTCTTGGTCCTCCTAGGCTTCCTTTTGATGGTGTCTCTCCTTGACTTGGCAGGAGAGTAGTATCTTGATTGAATTAAAGCTAGTTATAGTGTCACTCTTAGCCTGTCTCCTGGGGGTCCTCAGAAGCACAGAGGCTGCATAGAGAAGGAGTGGCTGCTGGACTGAGCCCTGGGGACAGAAGTGGGGGGACAGGTGCTGGGCATACACAACATCGATTCTAGCGATTGCCTCTCTGGTTTTCCTTCTCCTTTCGGCAGAAGTCGGTACTGAGTAGCAGGGTAAACATTAGCGAAGACTGCTCATAGCAGAAAGTGCTTGATTCTGAAAGGGTTAGTCAGAGAGGCTGACTTTCACAGGGTTCTGAAGTTCAAGAAAGAGATGGTATAACTTGTGAAAAAGGCAGACTATAGTATGGGCTTCTCACGTCTGAATATGAAGCCTGGCTCTCTTGCCTACTCTGTAATTTACTTAAATTCTCTAGGTCTCTGCTTTCTCATCTATAAACTGGGAATTACATTACCTTATTCCAAGGTAGTAGCAAATTTTATTGATACCATGATTAAAATTTCTGACAAGAAACCATTTAGGATGCACTGGATTTTGTCTGAGTTGTTATCACTATTTAGTAGCTCAGTCACTCTCTGCAGAACCAGGGTCATTTTTCTTTCCCCTTTGAGGATAGTAAAATGAACTCAATTTTGACAGTAGTCTGGCCTGTAATCCTTATTGCAAAGAAGTAAAAAGGAGCAGTGGCCCTCCCACCCCCTAAACATTTCAATGTAGGTGGTGTGCTCACATTATGCACACCACCAGGGAGAAGCACGCCTGCAGACCAGTTTGGAGGAAGGAGGTCAAACACCAGAGGAACAATGGCCCTCTTATCAAGCCAAACAGCCAAGACTGCATTGCTTTTGGGTTAGGACAGAGTCAGGAGGAAGTGAATGGAACGGTCTGTGGGCTCAAAGGATGAGGAGAGAGGTTGACATGGAGTCTGGACTGATGCATTAGAGACCTGAAGGTGCAGAGTGCTGTACCTGAAAACTACTACTGGAGGTTTCAATCTAGGCAGAAATGGAAACTACACTCTCTGAGTGATTCGTGTGCTCAGATCACCCAAGCAAGAATGCAATGTTTTCTTTTTATTCATAGGGCTTCAGACTACAGTTTTAACAGTCCATGGTTTGAGTCACAAAGTTTTGCAGTGAGAATAAAACCCTGAGGCTGAGGTCTCACTGGGAGGAAAACAATCACTAACGGGGTAATTATGACGGTGAAAACCACAAGGACTCAGGACTCACTGGCCTTCTCAGCCTGGGCTGATTTCTTTTTAATGCTTTCGTTTCTGAACTGGTTTTGACGCCTTTGCCAGTACCAGAGAGAGGCCCAAGCTCTACTCAACTCATACTCGAGGATTCAGCCGAGGACTGAGATTCTCTTGACCACACCAGGACTCTTCACTATCTGCCCACAAAGTGATAAATTTGTAAGTAAAGTAAGGTGTTTGCAGGAAGCTTGGTAGTTGGTACTTGGGATCTTACAAGATGACGCGAAAACGTTTCTCGGTTGTTTCCTGGGACAAACAAATACAGTCCATCCATCACCCTCATGTGGACTTGGGAGAGTACATTGGGCCAAATTATTCATGTCTCCAAAACCCCTGGGAAATAGTGAGCCAACTTCTGCCCTGTGATGCTTTCTGGGAATTGTCTGGACTAACCCCTCCTCCTTGGTGGAGCAAGCCTATTTAAAATTTCAGTCACACTCAGCTGTTCCCTTCTTGTGGCAACAATAATTCACTAAAGAGACTGTTACACTCAGCCTCCCCCCCCCCCCGCCATTGCCACCTGGGTCTTGAGTTTTCCAGAGCGGTTTATTCTCCTGCATCTTCTTTGTAACCATTCTGAGAAGTGCAAGTCACATAGGAGTGATCCAATAAGCCCCAACACAATATAAAAACCTAAACTCAATAAATAGAAAGATCCCATTGCTTCATCTAAGGGGCTTTGTTTCTGGGGTCCATCCTGACTTGTTTTCAGTATCAGGCAACTCTCCCTAAAACACAGTCTTATTAAGGAAGAACTTAGTTATTTCTCCTGACCCCCACACCTATTTCCTTCATAAAAACAAAAAAAGGGCTACATATGATAATAATATTTTCCCCAAAGGACACTAGTTTCTCAAAAGAATTTCAGTTGGGGTTATTTCAATCTCTGTAACTTCTTCAAGTTTGGTCTTTGGTGTTCCATAAACAGTCCCATGCTTCACAGCTTATGCTCGGTCCTTCTTCTCTTAGAATGATGTCATTCATCACTGAGTCATGACATGGGGCTCATCAAGGGGGACCGTTCTGGGGCAATGGTGACCATTCTAGCGTTAATCAGAATCACCTAGAAGGCTTGTTCCTTCGCTGGCCTACTTCCCAGAGCTTTCTATTCAGATCTGAGGGGCAGCCTAACAACTTGCGTTTCTAACAAGCCACCAAAAATGATATTGATATTTGATATTGCTGGACATTCTAAGAGCCACCACTATGAAGGAGAGAGAGGCTTATCTGAGAATAATGGTAGATCAACAGAAAGAACACAGGTGGGGCTTTGAGTGGCTTTCGACAGTACTCCATGGAGGCAATGGAGTCTATTCCCTGACCCCTTGATCTAGCTGGGCTTTTGGTACATTTGGCCAATGGAATATTGTGGATGTGATGTCCAGCTTCCCAGGCTGGGTAACAGCAGGCAATGCAGCTTCTCTAAGCACTCATTTTAGAGAAGGCAGCTATGGAAAAGGCCAGAGACCCTGAGACGACCATGCTGGAATAGGCCTGGGGCTGATGGTCCCAAAGGAGCCTGCTTTTTGTTACCCACACGCAGGGGCCTGGCATATGAATGAAGCCAACTTGTGTCTTCCAGTTAGCTCATCTGCAAATTGAGTGCAGAGTGGCCTTGGTGGAAACCCTAAGGGGCAGCTGCCTCACCCAACTTGGCCCCAGTTCCTAACTAACAGGTTCTTTGGGACAAGGTGCTTGTTTTAACCTGCAGAGTTTTGAACTAGCTGGTTACTCAACAATAGATAACTGGAATAGTGCTTCTAGAAGAAATGGTGGAAGAGGGCCAGGGATGTAGCTCAGGGTACAGCACCTGCCTGGCAAGTGCAAGGTCATGAGTTCAATCCACAGTTTGAGACACACACACACACACACACACACACACACACACACACACACACACGAAGTGTTAAGCCAAAAAGAGCTCTGTTGGCTTGCATTTGGTGCCCTCTGCAGGAACCAGTAGTAGTAATCTGTCTTTCTAACTCCTGGGACAAACCCACCACCACCACCAACAACAACAACAAAAACAACTGCAAGAGACCTTAAAGGACACACTTCCTGGCCTTCTCATCTATAGTGGAGAAATAGGATATGCAGCTATAGTACATTAATTGCATTAACAGCCTCTATTCATTAACAGGCCCCTGGGTGTGGGTAACAAAAAGCAGAGAAGCTGCATTGCCTGCT